TGCAGCCGCCAGCTTCGGGTGAAAAAGCAGCAAGGGAGCATTTTCCAGCCCAGGGGTGACTTTTCCAGAGTATGGACATGTCCATGTGGCTTGGCCAGGCGCGCTGCTCCCTTCCATCAAACCCCAGCCTCTCCCGTCCAATCCAGCTGGACCAACTTTGGGCTGCAGATGCTTTCCCCATGGTACGGTGGCCCAAAGCCCAGCGGGACTCATGGTTTCTATAGGGTTGGCTTTAGCTAGTCTGTATGGAAGAGCCGTGGTGGCTTCCAGGAGGCTCCTTCATGCACCTTGGCCAAGCCTTGCATGGGTGAGCAGGAGTGGTGCTCCATCCTCTGCAACGTGTTTGGTGCAGGATAGAACCTTGGAAGGGGGCTGATTGGAAGGGGACTGGGAGTGATGGTGGATCTGAGGGGGGTTGGAGTGATGGGGAAATTCATGCGGTGCCAAGTTTCCAGGCCCTCCTGGACAACTGGCTCATGCCTGGAGGGCTCAACTCTTTCTTTCCACACAAAAAAAGGGTGGTGATCTGCAAACCGGCCCTGGGGACAGCTGTGCCTGTGCTAACTCCTGACTGCCCTGGGTGGTTTGGGGCATAACCATGTCCCAGAATCCACCAGGCCGCATGTGGGAGGATTAACAGCAGCAGGACAGTGTTCAGAGCGGGTTTACCAGGGCTTGCACAGCCTTTTACACCCCATATCTCATGTGCTTGAGGTCTCTGACCTTGCTCATCATCTCCAAGGGCCGCTCTGCACAAGCATCCCAGGGATGATGGCACCAGTCCTTGGCCGTGCGTCAGGATCAGGGGATGATTTTAAGACTTTAAGGTCTTTTTTTCCAGCCATGGGTTTACCCAGGTGGAGAAACACATCTGCATCGGGATTTTCCATCACCAGGGTGTAATGCCAAGGTGGCCCTTGAAGGCTGGACCATCCTCTCAGAGCACCTAACAGCGATCTCTTCAGGTCTGGGCTCAAGCAAGAGCTGGACATGGGCTGTGAATGTCCATCCCACCAGGCTGTATGGCGCACAGCTGTAGATTCGCACTCTTATGAGAAGACAAACTGCAGGGCACAGCGAAGCCACACACGGAGATTTGCCCATGATCTCACCAACTGGGAACAGATGTGGTCTCACCATGGGTGGGTGACGGA